TTTGGTTGCAGCCATCATTGTTGTTTGGTGGGTCCGGGCTGGATTCGAACCCACCACCTTAGGTGTATGTGGCTGGCGCCTTAGCCGGTTGAGCCACAGGCGCCAAGCCAATGCCCTATGTCTTATTTCAGGCGGGGGACACTCAGGGTAAACATGTGAATGATCATCAGGCTATACCACTAAGATCTGTGAACTTTATTCATGTTATATAGATTCATGTGTTATATCCCAATAGAAAGAGAGAAAGGAGAAAAGGACAGAGAGAGAGGAGGGAAAGAAAGAAATGATGACCTCTCTGGGAGGCAGGGTGGAGAGCCCTTGGGGACTGAAGGGCATATGGAAGAGCTACAAGGTCTCACATGACTTGGTTTTGGTGGCTGATGGCACTGCACCCTAGGATGGACAGCTCTGGAGGAGAATTGGGTCTAGGAGAGAGGCTGGGCTCAGCATGGAAGCTGTAGAGTATAAAGAGAATCCCAGGAGACACAGGATGCTATGTCTACAGTACTGAGAGGCAGTGGCCAGCATGGAATAAAAGGCCAGGGACCTGTGTGCACCTGTGCAGGAAGAACAGGTGGTGGATAAAGAAGAGGCTGTGTGTCAGCCTTGGGTGCTCAGAGCAGGAAGAGGACCCATAGAGGCTGGTGGTCAGGGCAGGCTGGCAGATGGATGCTGAGGGTCAGAGGATCTGATGAGGTCGAGGCCCAGATGGGGAAATGCCAACTACATTTGCTCAGAAGTGCCAGCCCCCAGGCTGAGGTCTGCATGTGCATATATTCATCTCATCCTTATGAGTATAGCAAAGGAAAGTGAGACACAGAGCTTGCCCAAGGTCAATGGCAGAGCTGAGAGTGGAATCTGCACCCATAAGAACCACCCCACACTTCCTCCCAACATTGGGGGACAGAGACTGGAGTTCACCTTGGGATAGAGTAGCTGAGGTTGGGGGAGAGGTACTTGGAGGTAAGAGAAGATATGGGGTAGAATTCAGAGCCTGAGAAACTCAGAGGCAGGAAGTCCAGGGAGGAGGCATGCTGGACATTGCAGAAGGCCAGTCCTGGCTCTGAGGGTAGCGGCTTATCTGTAGGAGTTGTGCTCCCAAACCCTGGGGCCAAGGTTAAAGGTCTCCCCTCCATTTTACCCTCCTCCTGAGCTCCTGCTGCCTCCAGGGAAGGTGGAAGAGAGAGGTGTCACCACCAGTGTGGAACTTCTAGCCCAAGGCACAGGGAGAGGCACGTGACAGAGGAGGGGAGTGTTCAGAAGCTCCCCCTCGCACCCCAGGAATTACTCCTTGAGATCTAAGAGTGTAGCTTTCCTGGAAATCCTGGGCTGTGTCCTGTCTCAGTGGCTCAGGAACTTGTTAGACCTGTTTGTGTCCTGTAGAATCAGGCCAGGGCCAAGGCTGGAGGGAGTGGGCACCACTGTGCACCTGTTCATCAGCCACCCCATGACAGCTGGGCTGGCTCACCTCCAAGACACAGGCTTGAGACATTTATCTCATATATTCCTTTGTCCTCAGTTCATCCATTCATCTACCCTACCTCTGTCCCCAGGGACCTCTGGATGGGGGTTGGGTGTAGGGGACACTGGAATGACATAGCTCCAGTGTGAGTCCAGGGAAAAGGAAAGCCATGACTTTTCAGGGGTACACACCAGCGGGGAGGCTGCTGGGGGTTTGAAGACTGCCCAAGCTGTGGTTCACTGATGGTCTTGGCTGTCCCGACCTTGGCCTATCACTGCCTTCCTTCAGTGTCCATGACTCTCCATCCAAGCCTCTGGGCATCCTGGGCTGGCTCTGCATGACCCCAGGGTCCCCTTCTGGCCCTTGCAGTGGTGTGGTCCATAGAGCTGCCTTTCCAGGGATGGGGGTGGAGGCCCTTGAAAGCCACAGAGAAATCAGCAGGAACACACATGTTGGTGGACATACCATCTGTCCTATGTCACATCTGGAATTACCCTTCTCTTTTTTCTGTCTTTCTTTCTTTCTTTTTTTTTTTTTTTTTGAGACAGAGTCTCACTCTGTCACCCTGGGTAGAGTGCACCTGGCACTATGGGCACCTGCCACCACACCTGGATAATTTTTCTATTTTTGTAGAGATAGCGTGTGATGGCAGGCTTGAAAACTAACCTCAAGCAATCCTCTTGCCTCAGTCTCCCAGAGTGCTAGGATTATAGGTATGAGCCACTATGCCAGCCTAAAGTCACCTTCCTAGAGGCACAAGTACTTCTGCTGGTCTCCCTGACCTCCTTCATCATGGGGTCAGCTGCACAGCTTCATTGAGTTCTCTGAGTGCCCCGCATTTCCTCCTGTCACTGGGTCTGTCCCCCCACCCCCACCCTTACCCCTGTGTCCAGCTACCCCTGTGCCTAGCTACCCTCTACTCAGCTCTCTGGTCTCAGCTCAGCAGTGTGTCCTCAGGCCCTGATGCCAGAATGGCCCACATTGCTTCCATGTACTTTCATGTCACGTGATACTTTTACTTTTGTAAGAGGCGTTTGTCTTTCCCAGTGCTGTAAGCCCCTGAGGTCAGGGATTGGGTTGGGTTTTGTTCTCCGTTGTACCTCTAGCACCCTACATGGGACTGACACTTGGAAAACTCTTTGGGAAACATTTGACAGACTCCAGGAGGCC